TTAAATTAGTTTTTAAATTAAATTTTATTTTAAAAAAAAAAAAAAGTTGTCCATAAACTTTTGTCCATCCTCTGTACATGAGAAAAAATTTGTGAAGATATATTTTTCTTGCAATTTATATTCTTTTAATATTATAAAACTAATAATAATAATATTACTATACTTATTAAATTTATAAATACTTTCAAAAAACATATTCAAACAATGTTATTGAGTTTAATATTTGTTTTAATACAACCTTCATATATATTTTTATATTGATAATACTTATTGTATCACTTAAAAAAATTAACAATTTTTTTTTAATTATAAAAATTAAAATTAGTTTATCTTTTCAATAAATTAATACTTGGCAATTATTTAATTAAAATTTATTACATAATTCAAATTAAAATAATAAAATTAATTTAAATTAGTTTATCAATATGTTAACAATAATTTTAATAAAAATAATTTAATTAATTATTACAATAGCTATTACATATACATTTTTTACTTAAATAATTATATTAATAAAAATTTTAATAATATGTTTCAAGTAATTAAAAGAATATGGTTTTTTAATATCTATACTAAACAAGAATTTTCTTATTGTTGTTATTTTTATTTTTATAAAATTCCAAGTAAATTTAATATATCAATAATAACAATAAAAGTATTAATAAGTCAATTAGCCATCATATCAACTATTAATTATATAATTATATTTAAATATCTATACTAATAAAAATATCAATAACAAGTTATAAGAAATTAGAAAAAGAGTTCTTTTTAATATCTATATTATATATTTTTATTGTTATTTTTATTTTGATAAAACTTTTAGCATAATTATATAATTTTTCAAAAAGATTTTGAATAGAATTATATAGTCACTAAGTATTATTTAATTAATATATTGACTAAATAGTTGTAATAGGTAGGCTGATATTTAACTTATTGTATATTTTGTATCTAAGTGATATTGTTTTTTTAAAAATGTATATATACAGTATATAATAAATAAATAAATAATGCTTTTCTATTATTAACAATAATAAAATCATGAGAAATCTTTTAATAGAAAATTGTTATAATATTATAATATAAATATTAAATTAAAAATATTAATTTAATTAAATAATTATTAAAATTTTATTAAATGGTTTCAAACTTTTTATTAGAGTTTATAATTATAAGTTAATAGAAATATAAATAGTAAATTGTGAATTTATTTTTTTTAAGAAAATATATTTTAAATAAATATATACTGTATATATATTGCTGATTAAATAATTTAAAGTGAATCAGCTTAACTAACTTTTAAAAAGATTTATTATTATTAATTTTTTTTTTATCTTAAATTCTATTGTTTAATTTCATGTTTATTATGTTTTCTAAATTTTATTGTTAATTTTATTATTTATAAATTAAAATTTTAAATCTCAACATGTTAAAACAATAAAATTTCAAAATACAAAATGCGGGAAATATATAATTTTACAGTACGGAAATTTCACTAGAAAACAATGCAAATACAGTTTTACATATGCTGTACAAATGCACATAGAGGACACCCTCTGTCTTATTTTGGGTAAAAAATCTCTGCTGACTTGACTCTTAGACAGTAAGTATAGAAGATAATAAGCTATTGAAAGTATGATAATACTGTAAATAAATTTGGTATATATTATATTCGAGCTTTTAAGCAACAATAACTACCGTGATGCAATCCAAATGTAAAATAAAATTCTACTTTATGACCAAGTTCTTTGTATGCATATTAGAATGAATACTTAATTTGCCAATTTTATATTACAGAATTGATTCGTGAAAGATAAACTTAAATAACCGGTATTAAGTAACGAGAAATATATATCCATCTTATACCCATCCCATGCTGTTTACAGGCATCTCATTCGAAATGAAACAAGTCTTTTCGATTAAACTAATTCCACGAACATAATATACCATTTTAGTAAGTTACTTTGGACTTCTCAAGAACAAATACCGGTAATATATTAGCTAAAATCAATCTTATACTTGCTCGAATCAAACAATTAACTAAGGGGACTATTTTACAATAACATTACTGAATGTACAATGAAGTTGCAAATGGTATACCCCTTCTTAACACCTTAGCGGCGGAGTCGAATTTTTTTTCGAGTTCTGAATTTCCGATAGTATTGGCTGCCACAGTCATTTCTTTGAGTAGTTCTTCCAAATATCGCAGAGATCGGATCACTTGACCCTCATA